GGGTCCCACTGCCTCCCTTAGAGGTGCTTGAAGGACCTTTGAGGGAGCTTGGCCCCGCGTTCAGGAAGATACTGGGCTATCAGGAGGAATAGGTTGTTCTTTCGGGTCCTCATCCTGTTCCTGGAGCTGGGAAGGGGGAGGTCTAAATAAATCCTCCGAACTTAGTCCATTAGCCCTCCGAGTTTTATCTGTTCTTGTGCACCTTTGCCCAATGCTGCATGATGAACAGCACCTTTTCAGCTTTCCTTTTGTTTCTCCCTTATAATCCTTTTCCAGGGCAAGAGCTAAAGGGTCTTGCGGAGGGACTAATCCGCAGTCCCTTTGCCACTCCGGGTGATTTCGGAGGGTAAAGAACATGTCCGCATAAGACACCTCGTCCCACTTCCCTTCCCTCCGTAAAAATAACATTAATTGTAATAGTGTATGATAGTCTAAAGTTCCATTTAGTGGCCATTTAGCCTCCTCTTCTAGTCTGTAAAGTGGCCACCACTGGTTACAATATTTAATCAAGATTTTCTTGCTTTCCGTACTTCCCCTCCTGGCTATATCTTTCCAGTGCGTGAGTATGCAATCCAGTGGGCTTTTCTTTACAATTCTTCCCTGCTTATTCCCCATAATTGTTCCCGATACTCTGCACACCTCGATCTCCTCATATCGGACAATACCACTTATATCAACAACGCAGTTTGCTAATACCCAAGCTTGATGAAAATTACCAAAAATAGGAGCATAGGAGCACAGAGAAAGCAGGGAATTCTCTCACAATCCCAGTCTGGTACTACCAGTTCCCAGAAGGAGCTGTGTACAATCCTTCTAGCAGGTATAAATCATTTCCCTGTGCCGGCCATTCACTCCTATTACACAAATAATCCGACCAAATCTAACCCAAACCGACAGAGAAGGGATTCACTTTCCCATCTCTGGCTCATACAATGATTTCACAAGACATACAAGAACAGTGTATTCTTTAAACAAACATAAACTTCTCATAAACTTCTCATTTATCTTGCAGCAGCTGCCTCTCACTCAC